ATAGGCTTGCTGGGAGCTCTGGTAGAGTAGTGGCTAAGGCACTTGACTGCTAACCAGAAGGCTAGCGGTTCAAACCCACCAGCCACTCCCCGGAAGCAAGATGAGGCAATCTACTTCCGTAGTGATACAGCCTTGGAAACCCAAGGAGGGGTCGTTGTGGGCCGGGTCTGACTCAACGGCACCTAACAACAACAACAACAAAACATAGGCTTGCTATGAGTCAGAAACGACGCCACAACAATGGCTACAATGGCTAATGGATAACACATGTCTAGGTGATACTGAAGCTGCTAGTCTGAGAGTACACTTTGAGAACCACTGGTACAGAGAACAGTGAATAAGAAGCACGTTCTCTGCCCTCATGGAGCACCAGTCAAAACCAGATAGCAAGCCAGTAACTACACACATAGAAAACTACAGTGACAAAAAAATATAGGGTGCCCAGTTAATAGCTGGAGAATACGGTCTGATGAAGGATGGAGTGACTTCCCAGAAAAAGGGAGATTTGAGCTGGGAATCCTATTAGTTGGGGGTACAGAAGAGATGGGTAGGAGAATGCCACGCAGGGCCAAAGGGCTGCCGCACTACGACTATAGCGCGAGCAGGGCAGAGCGCTCGCCGGGGTGGGTGGCAGGAGCCAGCGGGACTGGAAGGCAGGCAGTTGGTTCCAGCTATTCCGGTCGAGCCACGTGAGGCCCCACGCGATTCCGAAGCTTCCCAGCCCAAGCCACTGCCGCCCCTCGCCGGCTGAACAGCCCGCGACCCAGCGGCGGCCCCCGCCCCGACACCCCTGCCACCCGCGAGTTAACCTTCCGCTCGCTGAGTCCTAGCCACGATGTATTTCCGGAGCTTCTTCACCGCCCGATCCCGGGTCACCTTCTCGTTGCCCGCCAGGCGCTGCGCGAGCTGGATCTCAGGTGGGAGCTGCACCCGCGAAACCATAGCGACCCTTGCCAAAAGCCCACAGCACCGAACCGCGCGCGTACCGCACCAGCTTCGCCCGGGCGCGTGGCGTGGCGTCACAATCACGCGCCGCGGCTCTGGTCGCACGCTAGCGCCACGCTGCGGCGGGTCCCGCCATGGAGTTCCGTCCCAGAGTCTGAGGAAGGACTGACGGAATAGCTACTCTACACTCTGTTGGAGGTGGCTGTTACAATAGATATTTACTCTTAGAGGGGAAAAAAATAAACATATGCTCTTTCTTTTAATGGAAACTGTGGTTCATTCCCAGTTGATGAAGGAAAGCTCCACTTTACCAAAGAATGCCAGCTAGTGTATGTTGTTGATAGTTATGAGTAGTCCCCCACTCTGGCAACATCATGCACAATGGAACTAAATGCTGTCCAGTCTTCTGCCATCCCCATGATCAGTTGTGGATTAGACCGTTGTGATCCATAGGGTTTTCATTGGCTGATTTTTGGAAGTATTTTTGGAAGTAGATCACTGGGCCTTTCTTCCTAGTCCGTCTTAGTCTGGAAGCTCCTCTGAAGCCTGTTTAGCACCATAGCAACACACAAGCCTGCACTGACAGAGGGGTGGTGGCTGTGCGTGGGGTGCACTGGCCAGGAATTGAGCCTGGGTCTCCTACTTGAAACGCAGGAATTCTAACACTGTACCACCAAAGCATAAATAAGGAGAATGGTTATTGGAGAACAGCATATTTGCCTGAGAATTTCCCCACCCCAAAATTAACTGCTAATTGATAAGGGGGAAGCACACTTCACAATCGAGAGATCCACCAGTCAGCTCCTTAACCAGCTATCATGCTAAGCATCACTAGTCACGGACACCCTTACCTTAGTTGTGATGTAACACACCCGCGAGTTAACCTTCGGCTCGCTGAGTCCTAGCCACGATGTATTTCCGGAGCTGCTTCACTGCCCGATCCCGGGTCTCCTTCTTGTTGCCCACCAGGCGCTGCATGAGCTGGATCTCAGGTGGGAGCTGCACTGGCGAAACCATAGCGACCCTTGCCAAAAGCCCACAGCAACTCTATAGCGCCATCTGTGAGGCATTCTAGCCAAATATTTAACCTAAATCCAAGCAAGCTTTTTAGATCTACACCCAGATTTCCAGGAAATAGAGAAAGGTGTTAAATCATGCGTGAGAAAAGAATCACAATTTCAGACTCCAGGGCATTCTACAAGTACACTATTATGGATTGAATTGTTCCCCAAAAAAATATGCTGAAATTCTGGAAATGGATCACAATAAGAAGTCCCAGATAGAGTTGGGGAAAATGTGGAACAAAACTCAAAATCATAAAAAAGAAAAAAAAGATGAGGCTTACTGGTCTGATGAAGACTGGTGGAACCCCTGAGACTGTGATCCTTAGACACCCATCAAGCTAGAAACTGAACTTAAACTCTCTGAATCAACTGTGAGCCAAATGATAGACAGGCCTATCAGGTGAACAGTAATATTAGGAAGATATTCATCATTACAGCAATCAACCACATGAGATCAAGAGGACAGCATCTGCCCAGGGATAAGCTAGGAAGACAGAAGGCGATGGGAAAAAAGGACTAAGGCAAAGGGCACAGGGAGGAATTGGGAAGAATGCTGTTACAGTGTGAGGATTGTGGTAAATGTCACAAAACAATGTGTATGGATTGTTGAATGGAAAACCAATTTGTTCTGTAAACTTGCACACAAATTAAAAAAAAAAAAACAGAACGTGCCCTTATTTAGAAAGTGGATATAGGCAAATGTAATTAAGAAAAAAAAAATGTTGAAGCTCCAACTTCTGTACCTGTGAAAATGAACTTGTTTGGAAATAGTCTTTGAAACCACCAGTTAACATAAGGTCATACCAGAATAAAGTGGGTTTGAATCCTGTATGACTAAATCAAATCTAACCCAAACTCCTGGTGACCCTATGTATTTCGTGGTGACCCTATGCTTTTCAGAGCAGAACAGCAGTGTCATGTCATGGCTGTGACTTTTCAAAAGCTATTCACTAGGTCTTTCTTCTGTTGTTAGACGTCATTGAGTTGGCTCTGATTCATAGCGACCTTATGTACAACAGAACAAAACACTGCCCAGTCCTGTGCCAGCACCTTCGTGATTGCTCCTACATCTGAGCCCATCATTGCAACCACTGTGTCAAACCATTATGTTGAGGGTCTTCCCCTCAAGAAGCCTGATATCCTTTTCCAGAGAATGGTCCCTTCTGACAACCTGACCAAAGTAGGTGAGGCGAAGTCTGGCCATTCTCTCTTCTGAGGAGCATTCTGGCTGCAGTTCTTCCGAGACAGATTTGTTGCTTCTTTTAGCAGTCTATGGTACTTTCAGTATTCTTTGCCAATGCCACAACTCAAAAGCATCAACTCTTCTTCGGTTTTCCCTATTCATTTTCCAGCTCTCACAAGCACATGGAGTGATTAAAAATACGATGGCCTGGGTTAGATACACCTTAGGCTTCAAGGACACATCTTTGCTCTTCAGCACTTGAAAGAGGTCTTTTGCAGCAGATTTGCCCGGTGTGATATGTCTTCTGATGCCTTGACTGCTGCTTCCATTGGTGCTGATTGTAGAATGAAATAATATGAAGTCTTTGACAACTTCAATCTTTTCTCCATTTATCGTAAAGCTGCTTATTGGCCCAGTTGTGAGGATTTTTGTTTTCTTTATATGGAGGTGTAATCCATAGTGGAGACTATAGTCTTCAATCTTCATCAGCAAGTGCTTCAAGCCATCCTCACTTTCAGCAAGCAAAGTTGAGTTGTCTGTGTATCGCAGGTTGTTAATGAGTCTTCGTCCAATCCTGATGCCATGTTCTTCTTCATATAGTCCAGCTTTTTGGATCGTTTCCTCACCATACAGATTGAATAAGAATGGTGAAAGGATACAACCATGACACACTCCCTTCTTGATTTTGAACCATGCTGTATCCCCTTGTTCTGTTCAAACGACAGCCTCCTGGTCTATGTACAGGTTCCTTATGAGTACAATTAAGTGTTCTGGAATTCCCATTCTTCTCAATTTATCCATAATTTGTTATGATCCACACAATCGAATGCTTTTGCATAGTCAATAAAACACAAGTAAACATCTTTCTGGTATTCTTTGCTTTTAGCCAAGATCCATCTGATATCCACTATGATATCCCTCATTCCACGTCCTCTTCTGAATCGAGCTTGCATTTCTGGAAGTTCTCTGTCAATATACTGCTGCAACCATTTTTTAATTATCTTCAGTAAGATTTTACTTGCATGTGATATTAATGATATTGTATGATAAGTTCCACAATCTGTGGGATCACCTTTCTTTGAAATGGGTACAAATATGGATCTCTTCCAGTCAGTTGGCCAGGTAGCTGTCTTCCAAATCTCTTGGCACAGCTGAGTTGAGTGACTCCAGTGTGGCATCCATTTGTTGAAACATCTCAATGGGGATTCTGTCAATTCCTGGAGGCTTGTCTTTCGCCACTTCCTTCAGTGCAGCTTCAACTTCTTCCTTCAGTATCGTTGGTTCTTGATCATATGCCACCTCCTGAAATAGATGAACGTGGACCAGTTCTTTTTGGTACAGTGGCTCTGTGTATTCCTTCCATCTTCTTTTAATGTTTCCTGCATCGTTCAATATTTCCCCATAGAATCTTTCAATATTGCAACTCGAGGCTTAACTTTTTTCCTCAGTTCTTTCAGCTTGAGAAATGCCGACTGTGTTCTTCTCTTTTGGTTTTCTAACTGTAGGTCTCTGTACATTTCATTATAATAATTGACTTTGTCTTCTCGAGATGCTCTTTGAAATCTTCTGTTCAGCTCTTTTATCTTGCCATTTCTTCTATTTGCTTTAGGTACTATCCGTTCAAGGGCAAGTTTCAGAGTCTCTTCTGACATCCATTTTGGTCTTTTCTTCCTTTCTTGTCTTTTTAATGATCTTTTGCTTTCTTTATGGATGATGTTATTTTTTAATGCAATTTATTGAAATATAATTTATGTACAGTGAGATACACAAAACTAAAGTGACATGGGTCAATGCAATTTTTTTTTTTTTTTTTGGCAGTGTTCCCTACCCTCCTCTCCCACCTCTGGCAACCAACAAAAAAAGTTTCCTTCCATATATAAACCTTTCCTTGACCCTCCACAACAACAAACTAATACTATATTTGTCCTTCTATGATTGACTTATTTCACTTAGCATAATGTCCTCCAAGTTCATCCATATTATGTGGAGTTTTGCAGACTCTACATTATTCCTTAGTACTGCATAGCATTCCAGTATGTGTATGTACCATAGTTTGGTCAACCACTCTTCTGCTGATGGGCATGTAGGTTGTTTCCATCTTTTTGCTATTGTAAATAGTGCTGCGATGAACATAAGTGTTCCTGTCCTGGCTCTCACCTCTCTAGGATATATACCTAGTAATGGGATTGCTAGGTCAAATAGTATCTCCAATTCCATCTTTCTAAGCAATTGCCATATTGCTTTCCACAGTGGTTGTATCCCTTCACAGTCCCAGCACCAGTGTATGAGAGTCCCAATCTCTCCACATCCCCACCAGCATTTGTTATTTTCTGTCTTGTTGAACCTTGCCATCAGTGCTGGGGTGAGACGGGATATCTCATTGTTGTTTTGATTTACATCTCTCGGATGGCCAATGATTGTGAGCATCTCTTCATGTATTAGCTGGGCAACTGAATATCCTCCTTGGTGAAGTGTTTATTCATGTCTTTCTGCTCATTTTTCAATTGGATTGTTCATTCTTTTGGTGTGGAGGTGTTGGAGTTTTTCATCAATCTTAGAGATAAGTCCCTTGCTAGATATGTAATTATTGGCAAATATGAATTTGTTGCTGTCATTTTTGTTATGTGCTTTCTTGCAGTGTCAATTTCTTTGTTCCATATAATTTTCTATGCTGAGCTCGTTTTGTTTATGAATCGTGTTATCAGTTCCTTTGTTGCCATTGTTTTAGCATTTGCTAAATATTTGTACTG